TATATATATATAGTAAGGGAATTTTGGCGTAACTGGTAAAGTTGTACGGGTTCGAGCCGTGGAAACAGTCTCTTGCAAAAATGCAGGATAAGACTGCGTACAATAGACCCTTATGGTCCGGCCCGTCTTCGAACCTCGCACATAACGAGAGCTTAGTGCACCAAGTTGCACTAAGCAAACTTTCGGAATACAATCTCTAATCATAAGTTATTAAGTTTGTCCGAACACATAAATTTTTAGCTCCGCCCCTTAATTTCTCCGGGCTCTCTCTAGAGTCAAAAATTCCATTAAATTCATACCATACTTTATTAGGACAGGAGCATCTTAGGAAACTGTGCAAGATTTTTGGGTCACACCCTAAGCCAACGGTTTTATGGGGCCTTGTCCCTACTCGATCACACCTATTTTTTGATTTTCTTATTCTTCAAAAACATTCACTTTGCTCCTTGGTCATATCAATAGATAGTATGCTACGTAGATACAAGCCTAAATACGATCGAAATAATTAGGTGTTTTGCGTGAGCTAACAAAATATATCTTCAATGATGATATATCAGATAATAAAAGAGAAATATATTAAAAGAGACATAAATATTTAATATGATCCGGTTAGTACTTGACTTACATTTTCACTATATAAAAGAAAATAACAAATATCGAGAAAATAATTTCATAAAATTCACTCAAAGAGGTAAAGAGGTTCACGCAAGTGACCAGCTAATACTTGTTTTAAAAATAAATTTCCTAAATAAGACTCTTAAACCCCTTAGGGATTATAATATGAATGTTACTAAATAAGAAGGAAAAATCCTCAATTTATAAAAGTCCAAAACTTTTTTCTCCAAGAAAAAAATTAGCCAAAATATGAGAGATTTCTAATTTCTTTTATGAAAAAAAAATTTAATTATGATAAATATGTTGTCCTTCCTTTGACATAAACAAAAACTAAATATAATACGAAAGTCAAAGCAAACTCCTAACAAGAACTACACCAATGTTGAAGATTATACAACTTGGATATTTTAACTCTCAATGTTGATTTGAGAAAGCCAAAAGCTTAGGCAGTGTTTTGGGGGTGTCAAAGGCGAATCAAAAGCAAATTATGTGAATTCAACTAAACTTACTGCTATCGATTCAAACTATGTCCACGTAACAAAAATTAAGATACGCACATATAACTCAATCATACTCATTCTGAACGCACATGCTCTAAATCCTAAATTGGTCCCCAATTTGTCTTGGATATTTAAAGTTATTGAACAAAAACGGTTCAAAAATACTCTTAATATGGTGTGATATTATCTACTTTGAACCAAGCCCGCATGTTTTTCCTCAAAAGCCACATGCTATTAAGAGATCCCTACACCTCATATATGGGCTCCCAATATTTTCAGCTGCCAAGCGTGGGACATTATTCGCATACCCAATAATCTACCCTTTGAACTAAGTTCAACATGGCCCATTACTATATTCAGAGGTTTTTCCTTCGAGCTAAGTTCCATGTGGCCCATTACTACAATCTACAGGTCAATTTTTGAGATTCCCTACATGCAACCCACATTGTTAGAGTATTATGGCAACCGAAGCTCGCAACTAGCTTTTTCTTGTGTGTCCGCCTCCAAGCTCGTAAGAGTGAGCAAACCGAGCTCCGCACCATCACTCTGCCACTACCATACTACTCACGTTGAACTTGCGCTCTGATACCAGTTGTAGGTTTAAATCAACTCAGAGTTACTCCTAACATTGTGTGATATATTGTACGTCAGCTTTGGGCCAAGCCCGTACAATTTTTCTGAAAAGGCGTCACACATATTATACGTATGCTATCAATTTTTTAACTACTAATGTTGGACTTTGTTCGTATAACCAACAAAAATTTTAAGGGAAGAACAGGGAGACGACCATTCACAAATCGTCCAATTAGTTAAGGCTGCCAATTTTAGCTGAAATGGAAGTCACTCCATCTACTTTTTCTTTAATTTGGTACTTGCCACATTCATGACTATTTTTCCTTCCATTAAACTATGCAAGTTGAAACAAACTAAAAATTTTCTCCCGAATATTGGCTCAATTTGGTAGGGATGTGTTGTTTAGATTGGTCATGTGAAGGAGATGTGATGAAACAAATTCCTAAATTTCTTATTCTTGTTATATCTACAAATATTAAAAATATTTGAAAACTCAAAAGTTAATTTATCACCAATGAAAATATTGCAAAAACTTTAATGAGTCCAATCATATTTTGTATTATGAGAATTCATTATAGACTTTTTACAATATTATTGATATAGTTATTCAAGTTCTATGGTTTCGTTTCTCCTTTATCAACACATATTTTCTATAAATAATTAACCTTTAATTGTCGAAAGGTTGATTCAGTAGTTGAGACAATGAGTAACAACACCTTTAATGTCTTCTCCAACTTTATTGAGCAGATTTATTCACACTTGTACTTGTGATTGCAATGGCGGACACATATTTGTCGAGGAGTTCAATCAAATCGCTTCGCTCAAGAATTATTATATATATCGATAAAAATCTTTTTATGTCTAAATTTTTGAACCCCTACGAGAGTATTTTTTGAATTTCTTAATGAAACTTGCCTCTGCTATTGCTTGTGAGCTCTTATAAACCGTTCAATAAATTAGTTAAGGTGCCAGTAAATTGATTTGAATATAACCGTCATAACAAAAGTAGCTTCTTTATACTGCCCCGTAGGAGTGTCGCTAAAACCGACCGAATCGTACCGTGTTTAATCGATTTTTAGATTTATTTTAAAAAATCGTAGATTTTTATATAAATCTATAACCGTGCCGATAATTAGGGTATGTTTTTATTTTATAAAAATAAACCGAAAAAATACTGAACCATACCGAATAAATTTTACATGTGAAAAATATATTTACTATCTATACTCTAGCCATCTTTTATTTTTTTAATTCATCACCCTTTAAACAGTAAAATGTCTAGAGAGTTTTGTTACGTCCTATAAAAGAACATATGTTATTGTATTCTACTTCTACTGGTGAATTTTACATGATATTTAAAAAAATATCAAAAATTAACCAAATCGTACTGATACCGAAGAGAAACCGATATGATTGGGACGGTTTCAAAAAATTTAATTTTATTTATACAAAATAGAATAACCAAAATATTGATATGGTATTAATTTTGTAAAATAATTGGTCGAACCAACCGTTCACCCCTGCCTCCCGTATATAAAAGTTAAATCCCGATACAATGGCATTATCGTAAATTCAGTGGTCCCATATACCATATAAGAGGAAGAAGGGTGTGGGGCTTAGCCAACAATTTTCCATCTTATTCTTCTTTGCAATTTCTCTACTATTACTATTACCATCTCCTCCATTGCCATTAATTTCTCTCTTCCAAAAAATTCCCAAATTTTCAAACCCAATTAACAACGTTGTACAATTCGAATTAACAACGTTTTACTCTGTACTCTTGTTATTGTTTTTTCTTACAATCAAGTACTACTAAATATTAACTTGATCATCAATAATTGAATTTATGGAGAGTACTACCGATTCATCAACCGGTAATCCGCCGCTGCAGCCGCCGCCGCCGCAGCCTCAGCTTCCGCCGGGCTTCCGCTTCCATCCGACGGACGAAGAACTCGTCGTTCATTACCTTAAGAAGAAAGCCGCGTCTGCTCCTCTTCCTGTTGATATTATTGCTGAAGTTGATCTTTATAAGTTTGATCCATGGGAACTTCCTGGTATATATTTCAGTACAGCTTCATCTTCTTTTTCTTCTTCTTTAAGTTTCATTTCTCAATTCTATAATAAACACAAAAAGATGTTCCATGTTTTTTTTTTTTTTTCATTCTATAGCAACTTGCCAAGGTGAAACTAGGATGATCCTTCCACTTAGCGGCGGAATCAGAAATTTATATAAGAGGATTTAAGAAAAGAATGTTATAACTAGCATTTGAACTTGTGATCCAACAAATTTTTCAATCCCTTTTATAACTACACAACAATACAATTCTCCTTTTGTAAAAGGGATTCAACTGTTAATGTATAATTAAAATTTTATTTTTGTCCTATTTTCGCACTATAATTTATTGACTAAAGGGATTCAATCCCCTTCCATACACCTCTCCCGCCCCACTTGTTCAATATTTTGAGTATGGACTTTAAATTTATACGTGAAAAAAATCTAAAAAGTAGTGTTAATATTATATTTTGGACCCATAATTTTGAAACAACTCATATTATTGAATCCGTTTAAATTCTGAATTTGCACTGACAATTTATTTTGAATATTTTCGGGGTGTTTGATGCAGCTAAGGCAACTTTTGGAGAACAAGAATGGTATTTTTTCAGTCCAAGGGATCGGAAATACCCTAATGGAGCGAGGCCGAACCGAGCGGCGACGTCGGGTTACTGGAAGGCTACCGGAACCGACAAGCCGGTATTGACCGCCGGCGGAAATCAGAAAGTTGGGGTTAAAAAAGCTCTCGTCTTCTACGGCGGAAAACCACCGAAAGGAGTGAAGACTAATTGGATTATGCATGAATATAGGATTACAGAAAATAAAACCAATAACAAGCCCCCTGGTTGTGATATTGCCAACAGAAAAGGATCTTTGAGGGTCAGTATTTTTTGTCTTAATTTCATCTTGATCAGTTAATTCTATTTTCAAACTTTTACTGAATTTCTCCATTTGGCAACAAAAGAAAAAAGTTCAGCATTTAGAAATACTAGTCCACCCCAACTTGTTTGAAACTGAGGCGCAGTTGTTATTGTTGTTATAGTCCTCGTCTCTGGGTGCCAAGATATCCATCGTAAGCCTTTCCTCGTTTGAACCTCGCCCTTCACTGCTATGCCATCCTAAGGTGCTACTATAACTATACTAGTATTTAGAAATACTAAAGTTCAGTATTTGTAAATACTATAGTTTGTTATTGAACTTCTACATTTGAAATACGGTAAATATCGGCAAAGTTGTTTGAGAAGGATTTCAAGTGACATAATGATTTTCGCTCATAAAACTTTCTACTACATAACTTTTTTCTCCAAATGAAATTACTATCCTAATGCTACGGGGTCATCGGCCCTCGATAATTTCAGGAATATATATATTGATTGGTACCATAAGACTCAAAGCGTAGGTCGTTTCATTAGTTAATTTGAGGGGTACAACTTGACTTTTAGTGGTTTTGGTTCGAATTTCGCTCCAGCATTTACTCATTTTTTCATTCGATAGTGGTACCACCGCCACTTTCAAATCTTGGGTTCACCTCTGACTACATATCTTCCAAATAATCTCCTCATCAACTTCAACTTCAAGTGAATATTTTAAAAATTCGCTCAAATATTGTTCAAATGCTATTCTTAATATTTCACGAGCTAGTAGTGTTAGTTACTTCTTCACATATTTTTTTTCTCATAATGTACCATATGTTGTATTTTTTGCAGTTAGATGATTGGGTTTTATGTCGGATTTACAAGAAAAATAATACACAAAGGCCAATAGATCATCACGAGAGGGATGATATGAATGATATGATGGGATCATCAATACCAACATGTATAGCAACCTCAATATCTCCATTTGAACAAAATATGTATGAAGAAATTATTAATAACAACACTAGCAATATGATCAACAACAACGTTGGATCCATATCGAGTAGTGTCCTCCCTCCAAAGCAGCCATTGCCTGCAGGTTTGTACTGGAACGAAGATCATAACACGAGTTCTCCATCTGCAAAAAGGTTCTTAGCAGAGAACTCATTGGACGATGAATTAAACATGAATATTACACGACCAGATGAACAGAACAGTTTCTTGAGCCAACTTCCTCAAAATCAAGTACTGGGATCTCTTAGTGATGGAGTCGTATTTCGACAACCTTATAATCAAGTTACTGGCATGAATTGGTACTCGTAAAGATGAACAAGAACATTTGGAAGGTTGTCCTACGAAATCATCCAATCAACCTTATATACCGAATACCATACTGAAATATATGTTAATGGATCGATCTCTTATTGTTCGACTCAAGAATTTTCACACTTTTGTAGCAGCAAAGCAGATTATGATAATCTACAGTTTTTTGGTTAGGTTGTAGATGCTTGGTTTAATTAACGTTCCATACATCTTTCGGTGAGTTTGTGAATACATAGAGATGCTAATTAAGAATGAAATGTTGTAATCTTGCATGTATAGAATTAGAACATATATAGAAGTTTAATTTACATAAATTTCAGCTCCCCATTTTTTTTATTTTTTATTTTTTTTTTTTTGAGTTGATGTTACGTGCACTGGCAATGTATAGGTTTTTAAACTATTATGTCAAGGTAACATACAACTTGATATAGTATGTTGAAGAGTTACTTGCTATAATTAATCAGTTGAATTGCATTGAGTTTGCAACGAAATTAAATCTTTTTAAGTTTCATTTTTTTCTGAAATCTTTTTAAGTTTCATTACAGATTAAATGATAAAGCCGATACTAGTAACTAGGTTAGATTGTTAATTTTGATAATGGAGCTAACCTTTAATTTTTTTTATATCTTTTTTGGTGTCAAAGAGCAAAGGATTGGCTTTCCACCTGCAAAAGTATATGGCAATACCGAGCAATTACCATATATAGTTCAAAAGAAGAGCAAAGCTACTAATTTAGGGTTAAAAAAAAAAATAAGAAGCTTTAGTTGCGGGAAACTTTGTGAAAAGTGGCATATATTAGAAAGCGATCACATATCTTGGTTGAGTTTAAGTTATATACATTGTCAATATAAAAAATTATGCATCAGAATTTATCTATTGTAATAGATAATTAATTTTATTCTCAAAATTACAAGTCTCAGCATTTTTTTTAAAAATCTTGTAAATATTATTTGAATTCTTTAAGCTGACGATGTGCATAGCATAAATGACGCCATTAATGAAATCATTTGTTGGAGGAAACTACGCAATGTATAAAGTACGTTGTCTTCCACTTATTAGGAGTAGTAATTAGCTTTGCTCCTTTTTTTTATTAACCTCTTTTATGAGACAAGTCTTAGTCTACTTTGCAACAAAAGGCTACAAAAAAGATTTAAAAAGAGGGTGGGAATTAGGAGATGAATCTTTTTTGTTATTGATTAGACTCAAACTATGTGTATATAATACATAAGGCGATAGTATTCCTTTTTGAATGGACTAAAAAAACTAGTAGAATACATAAATTAATGAAGGGAGTACTATAAAAGGGAGTCAGTTGCACTAAGCTCCCACTATGCGCAGGGTCCGGGGAAGAGTCGGACCACAAGGGTCTATTGTACGCGGTTTTACCCTACATTTATGCAAGAGACTATTTTCACGGCTCGAACCCGTGACCTCCTGGTCGTATGACAGTAACTTCACTAGTTACACCAAGGCTCACTTACTAAAAGGGAGTAATATGAATTAAAAATATATCTTAATTAGACTTATTTAAGCTTAATTGAGTGGAGTGTGGATGTCATTTTCTTGGATTAATAAGATGTCATAGGTCTCACAAAAGTTGACAACAAAGGGCTACCTCACAATTAGCTTTCTTTCTTTGCTGACTTTAGGGACCATCATGCTGTCAACAAAGGGAATCACTATTATCTTAATTAAAACCACAAATTTTATTAATTATTAATTATCGTTTAATTGCATTTCCTTTCAAGGGAAACATTACAAAGCTACTTTATTAAGATTTCATTTCGTTGCTGCTTGTTTTAGGAACACATAATGCAAGGGTGAATATATGCATGTATTAGAATCTTGCATGCGTCCACATCGTTACAAAATTGACAATAAGGAATCAAATTTAGGATTTAAAATTTATGAGTTTTTACACCTCAAGTCAATATACAATAATAATTATATTCATAATAAAATATTTATAAATGTTTAATAATTTTCTTAATTCATCTATATGGTCTGACAAAACCTATCGGGTTTGCATGAACCCATACGTTACAAGCTAGATTCGCCTTTGGAGAGACACAAGGGCGAAGCTAGCTCTTTGCCTACGGGTTCGGACGAACCTAGTAGCTTTTGTTCAAACCATATATTTGTCTTAAGAAATCTATTGAATATAAATAAATTATTAATTTAGAATTTAGTAACTTAAAAGGACCAAAATCTCGAACCCATAAACTTCAAATATTGGCTCCGCCTTTGATTACACATGACATAAACAAAGTATTTGATATTCATGTTTCAACATACTCCCCCCCACACACACAAACACACACAAAAAAAAAATATAGATACATGCATACATCCATGTTATACAGTTTACGTATTTCCAACACATTTTCTAAATTTATCTTTCTTAAACAATTTAACCAATCAATACTATCCGCATTTTATACTTGAAAATGAGTATACTACTCATATTCAGGGGCGGACCCATGTAGGATCAAGCAAAATGGGTTTAACTGCACCCGCTTTGCCGCAAAATTCTGTTGTTTATACTATTATATTATTTATTGTTTGTAGATGATAACTTAAAAAGTTACTGTACTTGTATGTGCATATTTGTGTATTTATTGATTGTTTTATTTATTTTAACACTTCTGTACATTATAAATGTTGTGTTTTTCTCCTTTTTCGTGATTATGTGACAGAAATTTTATGATGTTCTTGAAAAATTATGTTGTTTTGTCTAACTCTTTTTTGGGGGGAAGGGAAAAAAACACTATCTCAAACTACAATTTTTTCCAGGAGCATTATCAAAAGAGAGAGTAACATACAAATTCACTTCGTTGTACATTGTAATTACTGTTATTGACTATCACTGAAATAATGTTACCGAACTTAATTGACCCCGCTTCAACAAAATTTTAGGTCCGCCACTGCCTTTATTTGCAAGCGTACGGAAAATGTATGTTATAGTATAGCAGATAATAAAGTATGTCTTGCTGTCTAGACTGAAAATAGTGCATGTACCTACCTTTAGTTTTCTCTTGAACTAGCCCTTCTCCTGAACCTTGATCTTCAGTTATGGCTTTATGTAGTGGTGGAGCTATTATTGTCCCGTTCGCTGGAAAATTATGATGTTTAGATCAGTAAATAATCTTTTACGTATATATATAATATGTTGAATCTTCTTGACTTCACCGTATTATTTTATATTTTGACTTTGCTTAATAAAATTTCTGATTTCGTCACTGATTCCACGATGCTTCTTTCATAGGAGAAGCAAGATCCAAGTACCAGCAAATACATTGGTAAAATTTTGTTATTCTCCTATATATGACTAAGAATAAGCAAATCAAAGTTAATTTCAAAATTGATTAAGTAATTGGACAATTTTTAAACATAGCTAGGGATTCAAGGTAGCTCCCACGGTGGATGACCCAAACTTCCACCTTGTAGGTGGGGTTTGATTCCCCATAATATATTTTCCTATTTATTTATTTATTTATTTATTTATATGTATAATAAAAAAAAAATAGATGCTTCTCCTCTCTTTGCATGAATTACTATCTCAACTTCCATTTGTTGCTAGTTATTATAATTATTGTAGGCGTTCTTCATATTGTTGTGTATTGTTGTGGTTGTTGTTATTGTTATTATTATGTATTGCACTGCGAGATCAAAAGAGCTTGGATCAACTTAAATTGGCAAAGATAAAGAATAAAAAGATAGTTTGGCCGAACAAATTAGCCCTCTGGTTGAATAAGAGAACGCACGACTAGTTAAAGTAGGGTATACATGAACCGGGTTGGTTCGATTTTTATCAAAATCAAACTAAACTAAACCAATTATATCGGTTTGGATTGGTTCGGTTTTGTCGGATTTTTCAGGTTTTTTTGTTATATAAATATTATTTTAATCTTACTTTGTTACATTTTTTATAAGTAAATATATATTTAGTAAAAATTAAAAATAATTGACAAATATATGATTTATTAAAATATTACTATCATAGAAGAATTTTCTTAGTAAGACATGACAGTTATTTTCTTGTCGTCTGACAATAATTTTACGTTGATGTACTCTTTCAAGATTAACCAAATTTAATAATTAAACATAAAAATAAATATGAACCTATATAATGATATGTTCTATTTAATTTTAAATTATCGAAATACCATTTCAAATTCGAAAAAGATATAAATATTTAATAGATCTTGACATGTGAATATGGAAGAACAAAGAGATTGGCACATTTCACTAATACTTGATAAGAAAGTGACCTACAATCCATTATTTAAAGTTAATAAATATGGAGTACTTCATATTTAACTAAATATCACATCCCACAAGAGAATCGCAAATATTTCTAGACATATTTTAAAGACAATTCTATAAAAAGTCTTAAAAGTATATACAAAAATTATATATTTATATGTCGGTTTAGTTCGAGTTTTTTTTACTCAATACCAAATCAAATCAAACCAAACCTAATACGATTTTTTAATCGGTTTGGTTTGACTTTTCGATTTGGTACAATTTTCCGGTTCGGTTTGTACACCCCTACTGTAAAAGGGCTTTTTAAACATTTGGTCGTTCGGCTTTATATATATATATATATATATATATATATATATACATGAACAATTATAACATATACATCTGTCGGCATTATATTGGACGGACAACTAAATAAGTTAATTTCTCTATTGTTATAAATCTCATAATGGAGGAATAGTATTTTGGATTGCCTGGCCCAATTCAGTACATTTTGCCTGCGGGGAAAATTCAAAAATAGCTAGATTTACAAGTGGTCATTCAAAAATAGTCACAGTTTCAAAAGTCATCGAAATTTAGCCACTTTTCATGTAAAGATAAATCTGAACGAAAACACTGTTCAAAATCCGAAATATACTCCAGCATAGTTCCAGTATATTATACTGGAGTTTGGAGCTCCAGTATACTTTGCTGGAACTCCAGTATAAGGAAAGTATACTGGAGCCAGCAAAGTATATCGGTCCAGCATAATATGCTGGAAGTTCATACACGAGTGCACCGAACCCCAGTATATTATGTTGGATCGGTCTCTGTTGCAGCAAAATAGTGACTATTTTTTAATGACTTGGCAAATGCCGGCTATTTTTGAATGACCAGTCCAAAAATTAGCTAGCCCGTGCTATTTTAACTTTGCTTGCTTCCCTTCTTATGTAATGTAGTTAGCCCAATAGCCTAGCAAGACCTAATGTAATGGATTGTTACACAAATAGCCGGCTAGATTTAATGTTTATGTTTTCTAGTCGGTATACATAGATTATACATTAATTAT